TTTTGCGCAACGAGAACGTTGTCTTGCAATATTTTATTATTTTTCTCTTTCCAAACTTTCACAGAATTAAATATATTCGCTGTTCCAATGTATGGCAAACGCGTGAGGTCATGTAATAATTATATTGCAATAAGAATAATAATCTTCGAGTTGTTACATTCCGGCGATGGTTCAGGTAGTCTTGAGTATTGTAGGCTATTATTTGGCCGCCACGTATTATTTTCTAGTCTACCTGAATGTTCAAAATTGGCATGTGCATTATGGTAGCATGCCTCGCAACTATACGAAAACGTTGATCCAACGATCCGTCGATTATCCGGTGGAACAACGTAGCACGCCGTTCAACGAGATCTCCTCCTCGACGGCGCGTTTGAGATATTTAGACCGGCTTTTATTACCGGGGTAAGCTCTCGTTGTTTCGCTACACACTACAAGTCAGTACCGGTTGTCCCTCCCGAGCCCGAGGGCGCAACGGTTAAATTCCAGCGGGCGTTCTCGCGTGGCGGAATGTCTCCCCGCGAGATCCCCGAGTAAAGGAAGAGAGTCTGGGCTCCTTAACCGATCCAAGGCAGGATGATGGAGAACGCGAGAGAGAGAGAGAGAGAGAGAAACGGAGAGAGACTCGCCTGAGTGAGACCTTCCGGGAAATTGGATTGGCATTTTGTTCTTTACGAGCGTCCGCGGGGCCGCCACGGTTCTATAAGGTAGAACGTTCCTGTCGGAAGACCGGGCACGCGGTTATACAGGGTGGACACTGTTCTACGGATGACGGAACACACGATTACACCGGCGTTTAAGTGAGAAGCGTTCTATCCAACTTGGAAACTTCAATCTTGTTGTACTTGAAATATTTAGTCGTTCATGCTGTTTTATCGAAAAATTATTACAGTTTTAATCACACTGTCGACGGGTTAGACGTTTTTTCGCCCCTAGAATGTATTTTGGTGCACATAATAATTATACGATATGCAAAAACACTATTATTATATCGAATGGAACACGTAATTATATACCTTCTAAGTGATCCTATTCTTTCCTAAGTAATTTTAGTTACTTTTCTTGTATCGTTTTCTTAAGATGGTTCTATTCAATTCTAGAGACGTTCCCCAGTAAGTCACATACTGTCTATGTTCAGCCGCTCCACGCTATTTTTAGCCAGGGGAAAATTATACCCGCGCATTGAACAGATTATTAGCATTAAACGTTGTCGGAAGACGAAATGCGCGGTTGTACGAGGTGAAATATAGGAAGGACGGGGCCGTAATGCGGGATGAGACATTGCTATTGAAACAGAAGATACGCGCTCTTTCATTTCGCGAATCCAAGAACGTAATAACGGCTCTCGCCTCGGTATCATTTTCGATCTGGCAAGCTCCCGAGAGCTTTATCTCACGTGTATGGATTCGAATCTCGGTCCAAACGCATGCGGCGAATGATACTTCCGTTGCGAAGTACCGGAGCCAATCTCTAATGATAGGTCGCGAGCGCGGTTCTGCTTCCGATTCCTCCATCGGTTAAACGAAACTTCTGGCGTTACGCGAATCGCGCGAGAAAAAGAACGAAGGAAAGAGAAGGCGAGGGGGAACAGAGACACGCATCATATCGTCTTACCAAGTGTCACAAGTATAAAACGCGGAAAACAAAGAAGAGGAAGAAACGAACCACCTAGCGCGACGCCCTCGATCCAGCTCGGATCGGATTGTCGGCTCGGGCGCTTGCGGACTTTTACACGGCGCGTGCAGCAGGAAGCGCATGATTTGTATCGACAATCGCGACACGTGGGCGTATGTATATCGCCCGGGAATACAGTCCCGGGTACGTGGCGGCGATTCGAGTTCTCCACCAAGATAGCCGGGGCTGCTGCTGCAGCTGCCTATCCTTGCCCTGCCTGCTATCCTACATCCTAGCTCGCTCGCGCTCGCGCGCCGAGCTATCGTGAACGAGAAGACGGCAGACGGAGAATCGTTCTTCCTATCCTTCCAAGTTCGATGACTCTCGGCGATGATCATCGCGAGGGGGCAAACGTCCTCCTCCCCCCTGCCTTCCCGTTCCCCGTTCTCTCCGCCTGGGTCCCTTCGCGCTTCGTCGCCCCCTGCGCTCCTTCTCCTCCTCCTCCTCCTCCATCACCTCCTCCTTCTGCTTCGTCCTCCTCCTTTTCCTCCCGATGTTGGCTCCCTTCTCTCCACCTTCGTCTCCCCCCTCCCCCGCGGGTACCCTACGCTCGAGTTATCATAACCGCCGCCATCCGTCATGCATCACTTGCCACTTTGTGCCCCGGAGAATCCTCTCGCCGCGGCACGACAATCGCGCGCGAATCCACTGGAGAATCGACGCCGATCACGCCGAGCAATGGCAATAGGTATCGTCAGGTGTTGTCGTCGGGATTTTTCCCTGTACACAATTGTGCTTTGCAATAAAAAAAAAAGATAAAAACTTAGGATATTCATAAAGTTTCCAATTATTTTTAGATTTTATCAAAATTAATTACGAATTATGAAAATTCAACCATTTTCAAAAGATCGCGATAGCGCAAGTATTGTCACCGAACAGTTTCGCGTTTAAGGGAAGCGCAATTAATTCTGATACGCGTTAATTACTATAATTTACGGTAAAATTGCGCGCGTATCAACGTTTAAACGATTGTAAGCTGCGTGAGTTTCCGAATGCATTGTCGTCGGTGAAACTGTGAGAAACACACCTCGGCGCCTGTTTTTCTCTGATCCGGCCACGATATCGATCAAATCTGGTCCCCCCGTTGTTTCACCGCCGCGCATCGTGTGCGGAAGTGAAACGCGCTGGGGCCGGGCCTTCCCATTTCAGAGAACCGCGGATATAAACGCGCGTGTGCGTATATTCGCGCGCATTCGCGCAAGAATATCCGAGAAATATCTAAGCCATCATTTGCACTTCGCGTTTACCGATCAATCGGTTATTTCATCTTAACTGCACAGCTGCGAGATAGCGAGGCTCTTTTCACCGGGGGAAACGTGGTATTTCAGAGATCGTCGTATACGCCCGGCGCGATATCGATGTCAGTACATTAGATATCCGCCTTCTGAAGAGCAATCGCGCGAACGCGTAATTTCGCTCATTCACCTCGCGAATTTTTCGCGAATAACAAGTCGCGCGCGAGTCAAGCAGCGACGATTCGGTCTCGATGCTCTATTTTCGATTCGAGAGATGCGAAGAGATATATCGCTCGGGTGCTCGGTAAAAGAGAGACGGAGAGAGAGAGAGAGAGAGAGAGAGAGAGAGAGAGAGAGGACGAGCGCGAGCGAGAGAAGAGAGGCGCCCACAGGGAAAACCAGTTTTCCACGCGCCGTCCGTCGTTTCCACGCCAGTTGAATGCGAGATGCATTAACCAGGGGAGAGGAG